CCTCACTCTCGGTCAATAATTAAGTTATTAATATTCCGCTCGAAATACCCTTCAACTGTTAGTTTTATCTATCGAGCGATATGCCCAAAAATCGCGATATTCAAATTTATTCATTTTAATTTATTAACTATTACATAATTATTACATAACTATAGAATCGTAAGAGAAATTATTAGCTGAAGATAGCTATGGAAGATAGCGGTATAGGACGAAATTTATTTATACTGATATATTTTCTGAATACAACATATATATATATATATGTATTGTGATTTGTGTGCCTTTCACAGTAATTTTATTTAATATCATAACATGCGGCCAGAAAATAGATCTTATACCCAATAACCTAAACGGTTTTTGGAAGTGAAAAGAATGCGCTGGACAAACATTAATTTTTACATATCTATTCATTCACTTTATATCGGACGTCGCTTCTTTAGGGAAGCGTCACATATCGATTTTGTCCTTGAGACGTTTCTCTGGAGACCCCCTTAGAAACGTCGCACGCTGTTTTCGACTCTGCCGAGGCCCCTGAGGCATTATTTATCTTACAGACTTTAAATTGAGTGTTGCAGACTTTAAAACTCAGAACCCTTATCTCCGAATTGCCGGAAAGGCCAGGACCTAATAATTGGGATACAATGAAAATATAAATACACTTACGAAAATGCTAGAGTTTGTTTATTTTGTAGATGATTCCAAAATATCAAAACTTGAACAAACTATCGACATTTTACACGCCTTTTCACCTCATATGTTTGCCTACATCTAACATATCTATCCCATTTCTCTTTCGCGAAAATAATACAAGCGAAAATACCTATGCCAAAAATTAAATAAGTAATTAAAGGAATTAAATATCCAAAGACAAAAACTCCGAAGTAGTGTGTCCACGAATTACTCTTCTTCGTAGTAGCTGTAAGCCACTCGGGAAGCCGTTTATTTCTTAACTTAACAGAATCCCAGGCTAAGTAAGGCACTTGTTCACCAGCCATCCACTTTATTATAGCGACAGTTTCGTGATCATCTAGCATATCTATTGGCAGAACATGTGTCGCAAATTCACTTTGATTCATAAGCAGAAACCGGATGAAGTATATCGCATTACCAAGTACCTTTCTGCGGTTTTCTCGCGTTGTTATCAAATTTTGCAATGAACATTGGTGATCAGTCCACTTCAATACAGCTTTAAATAAATCCATCTCGTTATACCATAGCGTGTCCCTGTTCAGTAAAATGTTCAGCGTGCTTTGGTTAATATTTAGAAAGTACTCTGAGGCGAAATATTCGTCTGCACGTAGGTCTATTTTATCCATACATATTTCAGCTAACACTTCCGCTTTCATTTCTAAAAATTTATCCAAAAGCTTACAGGCCTTTTGTAGTTCTGTGTTGCGTTGAAAGGTATGGCTGCAAGCAGAATCAAAGGAAACAATTTCGTACTTTTTTATCACACGCAACACCTCTAGGTCTTTCTCGAAATCTTGTGGGCATTCCTCTTTATAAATAAAGCCAAAAAATCCAGCAAGGGTTTCGCTATTATGGTCAGGAAAATGAATGGTCTTGATAGGTTTCTCTGTCTTGCTGTAAAACATCTCATTAAACACAGGACTGCTCATGGCCAACACAAATTTGTGTGCATAGAATACTTCTTCAGATTTGTTATCTCCAAACGTAAATTTGATGTCACTTATGAAAGAGTTATTGTACATTGTTTCAACTTCTGAAGGTTTTGTAGGCTGCCTAATTATATTCGAACTCTCGGAGTATTTGTGTGCATTAACTAAATGTATATTTGTCAATTCCAACCATGTCGCCGCTAACATCAACACAAACGACCAACTGCTTACAAAAACCATGCTGTATGCTCCAGATTCGAATGTGTAAATCGTTTGGTATATAAAATTATAAACTTTAAACGATAGCCTACCAGTATAATTGCCTAATTCTTTGGGCGGAAGTATTAATGGTAATTAATAGGATAAAACGCGGATACGGACGGACGGATGGATGTCAGAGGGACGGACGGACGAACGAACGGACGGCTAGTATTCTCGTTAAAAGACAATGGCAACGGAAATTTTTATTGGCTATTTCAATCCTACTTGACAACCGAACTATGAAAATATTATCATTTCCGTCTTGAACATTTTAGTCTACGAGTAAAATGCATGCAAACTTTGTATTTCGGCCAGTTTCGCCGCTATCTTGGAAAATATTATTGAAAAATTATCTCGAAGGTCAATGAACTTTGTGACGTCATTGGCTGGGTAACACCAAAACTACAAGAGAGAATTATATTGCGTGCGTGTTATGTTAGCTGAAAACATGTCGTTTTGAGCGTTATACTGGCCAACACTCTTCGCAATCAAACAAGAGAAGTCTACACTATCAGATAAAAACATATCGAGCGACTGGGAAAGCAAGAAATGGCGCAATTTACAATACAGGTAATTGATCATAAAATATTGCATTAGTATTTGCCTTGTTTACACTCGAATTTCTACGCTTATATTTAACACGGAGTAGGATATATACTATGAGAAATAGTGTTACAAACAAATTACATACTTGGTAAAACTTTTCTGCCTTTTGTTTTGGCTCACAATGCACTACGCGTGGTAATACACGGTATTGTTTATAATCATGAGATTGTGTTTACTCAGCCAATGACGTCAGACAATGTATTTTGTGGCATAAATTAGCATACGCGCTTATTTTCAAAATGGCGGACAACTGCTCAAACTTTCTCAAATTCAATCAAATTTTCTCAGCAACTAAACGCGACAAACCGGCCGAAATATGAAATTAAATATTCCATAAGTGTACCTAATAGATATAAGTAATAAAAATTTTGGTTGCCAATGTCCTTTAAATGTCATTTAACATTTCAGCCCTTTTTAGGTCGAAACGTGGATATGGTCCAAAAACGTTTTCAGCAAAACGCGGATATGACTTAAAAATGGCTGAAAATGTTTTCTGAACTATATTCCCGTGACGCGGATATGAATGTTATGTTAAATGATATTTAGCGAGAGTATAAGTCGTCCGTCCGCCTGCCATCCATCCGTCCGTCCGTATCCGCGTTTTATCCTAACCCGTCAGTATTAATGGAATGATGCGTGACAATTTTTAATTATTTTTTTATTGTTGTGTGAATTGTGAGACTAAACACTTGCAGTAAATTGCTGTTTGTATCAAAGGCGATAATATAACACATATTGTATGAGCTCAAAATACCATCAAAATGACTGAGAAAAGTGAGACGAACCATTGGTATGCAGTCGAAAGAGAGAAAACCAACGATTTGAAAGTTATCGAGGATCAAACGTACTAAATTTTTAATTTTTAATTTAATTTTTTTAAGACCATACAAGAAGTCGGTCGTGAGACGTGAGAGTCTGTTATAACCTGTAACTTAACTTTAGATATACTGTAAAATAGGCTACTTTTTGCACAGAAAAGCATATAGCTATACATGGATTCTTTAATTCACAATACGTCACAGTATGGTCGCCGTCACAGATCCTGTGAAGATCTAAGGGCGCTTTCCATTTAATGGCCTGACCGGTCAGACCCGAATTATTTTCTCTGTATCAATGGAAAGATCTGGTCTACGTTTCTCAAATATCTAGCGAAAATGGACCTCATAATTCTAATGTTATCAAAATTTTCCAGTCAGATAGGTCCGAAGCCCAAATGTTTGTGTTTCATTCAACAATTTGACCGTTCTGCCCGGTTTGGCCCATAGATATCTTATGATAGACTAGATAGCGCATCTCTTTTAGTAAAATTGAAGACAAGAATATTCCAGCGGTTACCCCCATTTGAATAGATGGCGGCCATGTTGGTGTTTCCCACCCGCTAATAAACGCTTAAAAAACAACAATAACTTTCGTCATTTGAATAGTTTAAAAATGTATTTGGAATAGGTTTACCTTAATATTTAAGTTCCCTGTTTAAGAAATAGAAAACATACGAATCTTGAGTCTGCAATCACGGCTTCAATTTTTGAATTGTAGAATAATTAGATGCACTATCTAGTGTATATAAGATATCTATGGTTTGGCCGTGTTAAAGGAAAGCGCCCTAAGAAACCATTAACTTAATAGTACTCACAAAGGGTACATAACACAAAATACTTATAACTCTAACTTATAGAGGTCTTAATGCCGTCTTATATATACTCTGGGATTATATATGACATTATAGCAATCCACATGACAAAATAAATTAGTTATCACATACTTGACATACTTCACGGGATGGTCCGCTTGCAAAACCTTGCATGTGCGTAAGGTACATGTCAAATCACACCTATACCTATCATAAGGAATATTTCTACACAACTTGTGCGTGCATGGACCGACAAGGAAAATAAACAAAACACCGCGCGCACCATATACATGCACCTACTATACAATATTTCACGTTAAGGCCCTCTTTCCAGACCCTTGTAAAGATCAAAGAAGCAAAAAAACGTAGGCCTAATAAGGTTTATAAGAAAGTTGCACAACGCAAACACCTGTAGAGGTCCAATTGCTTATCTCTAAAATACAATATATCCTCCGGTTTCAGAGAACGTTGTGGAAGCATTTGATCCCTGCATGGGTGCCAGAGTTTTTTCCACGCTGGCAAAAGATGGAGCTCGCAGAAATAGTCCGTCGCTCCTTTATCGTGTTTTTTTGCGAGCGTAAAAAAACTCTGGCACAATATAAGGTGGTGCCAGATTTGGCAAACTGGGGTATCAAGGTCACGTGTCAGCCTCGTTTATAGAGATAGATAATCAGTCTTTTTTTTATTTATTTACTTCGCCAATAGTTTTATATTTAAAACATGAGCAGCAGTATTTTATCAAATATAAAGATCGAGGCGAAGCCGAGTATTTTTAGGTCTGCATGATAAAACACGCACTGCGAACGTTTTAAATACTTCAAAAATGATCGATCTAGTAAGTTCATTGGTGAAGTAATTTTCAGAAAATACGTTGTGTAAGTTGAGAAAATCAAAGTTAAAGTTTATGTAAATCAAGGGAAATCTCTATCACATATAAAGATACGACACGCCTAAGATTTTTCTTCGTGTTTTCCTCGTGAATTATTAATGATTTTTGAATACAATATAATTAAAATTAAAGCCACATTATCTTTGACATGCAGGGTCACCGCAACAGCGATACCCAATTGTTACTGGCCTAATATAACAAATAACTAGCCATATATAGAGCGGACTAGGAAGTCAAATTTGAACGTCTATATTATTGTAACAAGACGAATTATTTGGACGAATTGGGAACCGATCATTTGAAAAGTGACCACAGGTTTATTCATATGTTGAATATAGACCGAGGCCGCGGAAGCATTTCGAAAGTGGAGGGCATTGGCCAAAAGGGGCACTTTCGTATATCATCAAAATCAAACGATTTTGTGTCGTTCACGAGCCGAACGAAAATTTTTGAAAATATGGAGTGTCTATATAACGTCGGAAATGGCCTTTTTCTTTAATTTACTACCACAAGAAGGGCACTTCTTTCCAGCAAAAGGAGGGCGTTCATTCAAGAAATACTTTTTTCGTTCTTTAAATGGGGCAATTAACCCAGAAAAAAGGGCACTTTTTCACTTTTGAAAAAGTTGGGGGGGGGGGACACCCCATTGCCCATAGAGGCTTTCCGAATTTGCTTGAGTGTACACGAAAGGATAGCTTGAAGTAAGTAGGTAACTAGTTTTCGTTGCCAGTCTGCAAATGCGGGAATTTCCTAAGTTCGTCCAGACGTATCTTTTGTCTTTTAATAGCATAAATCGAGTCATTTATACAACAAAAAATATAGGCTTTCAACTGAAATCTGAAAAATATTGAGTCTGCATCAAATTCATGGCACAGAATGTTTTGAAAAAAATGTGGCTGGACAAACATTAATATATAACGAATTTATCGAAAAGAATTACGCCCTATAACAAAACAAGCACAAATACCCACGCCAAAAATTAAATACTTAATTAAAGGAATTAAATATCCAAAGACAAAAACTCCGAAGTAGTGTGTCCACGATTTACTCTTCGTAGTAGCTGTAAGCCACTCTGGAAGCCGTTTGTTTCTTAATTTAGCTGTATCCCAGGCTAAGTAAGGCACTTGCTCACCAGCCATCACTTTATTATTTCATGACAAGGAAAATTAATTTTAAAATTTTAATCCACAATTATTTTTCTAGTATAGATTATTTAAATGACTGTTGATAATGCTCACAAGTATATTGCAACATGACTTATTAATATTGTTTTATTTAACATGACTATTTGTGTAAATATCTATTAATATTTTATAGGTTTATATAAAACGATACCTTGAAAAGCAGCATTAGCTGAAGGGCTATCGTTTCTAAATAACTTTTATAAATAAATAAATAAAATACACAAAGCACTGCACACACTATATAATATACATGCACCTACTATACAATATTTCACGGTAAGGTCTATACTTTCAGACCCTGTGAAGATAAAAAAAACCAAAAAACTTAATAAGGTTTATAAGAAAGTTGCACAACGCAAAATCCCAAACGCCTGTAGAGGTTCAATTTCCTATCTCAAAAATGCAATATATCCTCGTATCCACAATAGGGTCAGGGTAATCCTCGTCCCCAGGGCCTCTCGGCTGCGCGCGTCGAGTGACCGAGCAATAATGGCTCTGGGGACGATATTATGTCAGGGTTAGAGAATGGGCAGGGATTGGGGCGAAGATCAAAGATAAATATATTCGTGCGCGAAACGTGAGGATATTACCTGAGAGTCCGAAATTAATTGGAAAGGAAATTTTCCCACAAAAAGAGAAATTCAGAGATCGTTGTGGAAGCGTTTGATCCCTGGGTTGCCAGAGTTTTTTCCACGCTCGCAAAAGATAGAGCTCGCAGAAATTATCCGTCACTCCTTTATCGTGTTTTTGCGAGCGTGGAAAAACCTCAGGCACCCAGGGTAAGTAACAACAAACTCACGGGCACAATATAAAGTGGTGCCAGACTTGGCAAACTGGAGTATCAAGGTCACGTGTCAGCCTCGTTTATAGAGATAGATAATCAGTCTTTTTTATTTATTTTTATTTATTTACTTCGCCAATAGTTTTTATGTACTGTTTAATAAACGAGCGGGAGTGTTTTAAAGCCACGAGCGCGCAGCGCGAGTGGCTTTAAACCTAATAAATCACGACCTGCGAGTTTATTAAACGGCTTCAAACACGACTACAAATTCAATAGATTTACTGCCTTTATATTAGTATTCTTTATATAAAGAATACTAATGAGGAGACGACAACAATAGATACTTCCTTATTAGTATTCTTTATATAAAGAATACTAATTAGGAGTGTTTTATCAGGTTTAAAGCCACTGCACGTGACATGTTATGGCTGACATGATTTGCCAATTAGCTCATGAGTTATTAATGAGTGTTTGAAGTACTATTTAAAACACGAGTAGGAGTGTTTTATCAGATATAAAACGCGAGGCGCAGCCGAGCGTTTTATGTCTGATAAAACACGACAACGAGTGTTTTGAATAGCTTAAAATACGACTACAAAAGAATACTAATTAGGATGAACCATTATATTATCATTCTAATGAGAATGAACAATTATATAATGGCACATGCTTTATCAGATATAAAGTCATTCCACGTGACATATTATGGCTGACATGATTTGCCACATGGTTTATGAATTACTAATAAGTATTTTAATACAATATAATATAATTAAAGCCACATTATCTTTGACATGCAGGATCATGCAGGGTCACCGCAACAGCGATTAGCCAATTGTTATACTGGCCATATATAGAACTAACTAACTACATATATTTATCAGAATTTATACAACAACAAGAACACAACATTCAAATTTCAATAACAACGCGATACTGGACATGCCTAGTTACATTAGTCAGCCTCGTACCCAGGCGCTTTGATGGTTTTGATGTTGCGTCACATTCGTGCGTACGCAACCGCTTAGCACATCAAAGCGCCGCTTAGCACATCAAAGCTCCTGGGACGAGGCTGTTAGTCATTATAGAGGTTCAGATTTGAGTTCCACTACTATTAAGGAACCAATCAGATGCGTTTGATATATTCAATTAACCAATCAGATGCGTACTAAGCCAGTGAGTGGTAGTGGTAGCGGTAACCTGCTCAGCAGCCCCCATGCCACCCAAACTGAAAGTTCCGGTTTCCCAAGAACGAAATTTCGGGCTGCGAGCAGGTATGGTAGCGGTTGTGAAAGTCAAATCTGAACTTCTATATTCAAATGTAACAAGACGAATTAATTGGACGAATTGGGAACCGACCATTATAGAAAAGTGACCACAGGTTTATTCATGTATTGAATATAGACGCTTCCCGAATTTGCTTGAGTGCACACGAAAGAATAGCTTGAAATAAGTGGTAGGGAACTAGTTTTCATTGCCAGTCTGCAAATGCAGGAATTTCCTAAGTTGCCCAGACGTATCTTTTGCCTTTAGCATAGGCTTCCAACTGAAATCTGAAAAATATTGATAGTCTGCATCAAATTCATGGCACAGAATGTTATGAAAAAAATGCGGCTGGACAAACATTACAGTAGTATATAACGAATTTAATGTCACTTAGTTCAAATTTGTGCGGATTTCTATTGTTCTCAGTCGGGTTTTATTTGGGTAAGATTCTTAAAGCAAGGGGAGGGATTTGATATCTCTCCAGGGAAAAGTGGGGTTGATGAATAGAATTGAATTAATAATTATAAATTCACGGGTTTTATCTATATAAAACCCGGCTTTATATAGATAAAACCCTAGGAAAGCCGGGTTTTATACAGATAAAACCCGATGCAGAAATGCACGACTTACTGCTTTTACACACACTACAATCAAAACATTACAAAAGTTAATAATTACACTGACAATGTACCGTATACTATACATGTACCAGTTGTTCCACTCTGTCCCTAACACGCTATAGCTATATATTTCGTACGATAAAACTCAAACTCAAATTGTTCAAATTAATAGAAGTTAAAAAGAACTTCCCTCCGGCATTTCTAGCCGTGCTCTCTTCCTTTCCATATGTTTATGCTGCATCTCTTCCTTCGTAGAATTTCTCTTCTCAGCCATCGGCATCGGGTCTTCACTCGCACTGTTAACTTTGCAGCCCCTGCTAACGCGACAATCCAAAGATTTTGATATTTCAATCAGTTTTGTTTTAATATCGGGTCTTTCATATTTCTGCAACGATCTTATGTCGCGATGACCAGTCCATCCTTTTGCGGTATAAAGAAATCTTCGTCGCTGTTTGTGTCGTTCATAGTTTAACCACCGCTCATTCTCCATGCATGCATACATACATAACTGAAGAAAATGGTTCATCTACATGTCTAGCTAAATTTCTATATGAATTTACAGTATGCTGTCCGAACAATAATTTAGAATATTAATTCATTTCCCTAGTTAATTAACAAAATATGACTGCTATAAGTGTTTACGAAGTACACAAATCATATAGAATGCTTTAACGTATACAGACAAAAGAAAATTTATAAAGCGTGACTTTCCTTAATTTCCTTTTGTTGTACCTTGTGCATGCACTTGACCATTCACTGCATTTCCTTGTTCTGCCTTGTAATAATTTTAGTTTATGCTTATACTGTACATTACGGTGGCCCATACGGGCCAACCCTTCTCCGTAGAAACTTGCACCTTCTCCGTACAAATGTGTTGTTATTCCATGGAAATCAAACTTCTCCGTGGAATATTGCCGTTGTTCTGTCGCGGAAAGCCTTTTCTCCGTAGAAATATGCAGTTTCTCCGTGGAAACACGCATCTTCGTGGAAACACGCAGCTTCTCCGTGGAAACACGCAGCTTTTCTGTGGAAACACCGCAGCTTCTCCGCGGAAACGCGTAGCATTTCTGTGAAACACGATGCGGTGGCCCGAACGGGGCACCTCTTCTCCGCAGAAACATGCAGCTTCTCCGTAGAAACACGTGCCTTCTCCGTAGAAACACGTGCCTTCTCCGTGGATGAGCACTTTCCTTGTGAATTAAAAAAGGCACGCCCCCTGAATATTTATTGGTTTTATACGACGGGGGGAGGAAGAGAAAATAAAGTCACAAGTCAACATCGTGGTCAAAACATTACAAGCCAATTTTATAAATATGAATACTTTAATATGGGCACAGATATCCAGCATATAAATTGTGAGAATTGCCAGGCAGAGATTTTGATCGTTTATACCTTTTGTACAATTGTGGAAATAGATACATACTATAAAGTTTTACTTTTTTATATTTATCGGTTATCAATTTTATTTGTGGATTTATATTTTTATAAATTGAATATTTAAATATACACCGTATTAATCTGTCAGTCAGTCTCGTATGCGGATCTGCTAGTGTAGGTATGGATATACAAATACCTACACTAGCAGATCCGCATACGAGACTGACTGACAGATTATTAAGTCTATTAAATACGGTGTATATTTAAATATACAATTTATAAAAATATAAATCCACAAATAAAATTGATAACCGATAAATATAAAAAAGTAAAACTTTATAGTATGTATCTATTTCCACAATTGTACAAAAGGTATAAACGATCAAAATCTCTGCCTGGCAATTCTCACAATTTATATGCTGGATATATGTGCCCATATTAAAGCATTCATATTTATAAAATTGGCTTTAACCACGATGTTGACTTGTGACTTTATTTTCTCTTCCTCCCCCCCGTCGTATAAAACCAATAAATATTCAGGGGGGCGTGCCTTTTTTAATTCACAAGGAAAGTGCTCATCCACGGAGAAGGCACGTGTTTCTACGGAGAAGCTGCATGTTTCTGCGGAGAAGAGGTGCCCCGTTCGGGCCACCGCATCGTGTTTCACAGAAATGCTACGCGTTTCCGCGGAGAAGCTGCGGTGTTTCCACAGAAAAGCAGCGTGTTTCCACGGAGAAGCTGCGTGTTTCCACGGAGAAGATGCGTGTTTCCACGGAGAAACTGCATATTTCTACGGAGAAAAGGCTTTCCGTGACAGAACAACTGCAATATTCCACGGAGAAGTTTGATTTCCATGGAATAACAACACATTTGTACAGAGAAGGTGCAAGTTTCTACGGAGAAGGGTTGGCCCGTATGGGCCACCGTAGTACATGCATGTACCTTTGAATTCCTTAATGAGTAGTGGGCGTAAGTATGATCATTTTTTAAAATCCTTACAAATTTGAACTAAGTCAGTTAATTACCTCGAACGTCGGTTTCTTAGCGAGATACATCCCTCGGGAGCGTTGCCCTCAGAAAGCATCCCTCGGGCCTACGGCCCTCGGGATGCTTTCTTCGGGACACGCCCCTCGGGTTGTATCTCGCTAAGAAACCTCGTTCTCGGTAATTAACTCTTACTTTAAAAACCGTGTTTCCATTTATCCTGCCCTATAGCAAAACAGAAACAAATACCTATGCCAAAAATTAAATACTTAATTGAAGGAATTAAGTATCCAAAGACAAAAACTCCGAAATAGTGTGTCCACGATTTACTCTTCGTAGTAGCTGGAAGCCACTCTGGAAGCCGTTTGTTTCTTAATTTAGCTATATCCCAGGCTAAGTAAGGCACTTGTTCACCAGCCATCCACTTTATTATTTCGACCATTTCGTGATCATCTAGAATATCTGTTGGCAGAACATGTGTCGCAAATTCACTTTGATTCATAAGCAGAAACCGGATGGAATATATCGCATTACCAACTACCTTTCTGCGGTCTTCCTGCGTTGTTATCAAATTTTGCAATGAACATTGGTGATCAGCCCACTTCAATACAGCTTTAAATAGATCCGTCTCGTTATACCATAGCGTGTCCCTGTCCAGTAAAATGTTCAGCGTGCTTTGTTTAATACTTAGAAAGTACTCTGAGGCGAAATATTCGTCTGCATATAGGTCTATTTTATCCATACATATTTCAGCTAACGCTTCCGCTTTCATTTCTAAAAATTTATCCAAAAGCTTACAGGCCTTTTGTAATTCTGTGTTGCGTTGAAAGGAATGGCTACAAGCTGAATCGAAGGAAACAATTTCATACTTTTTTATCAAACGCAACACCTCTAGGTCTTTCTCGAAGTCTTTCGGGCACTCTTCTTTGTAAATAAAGCTAAAAAATCCAGCAAGGGTTTCGGTATTTTGGTCAGGAAAATGAATGGTCTTGATAGGTTTCTCTGTCTCTGTCTTGCTATAAAACATCTCATTAAATACAGGACTGCTCATGGCCAACACAAATTTGTGTGCGTAGAATACTTCTCCAGATTTTTTATCTCCAAACGTAAATTTAATGTCGCTTATGAAAGAGTTATTGTACATTCTTTCAACTTCTGAAGGTTTTGTAGGCCGCTTAATTATATTTGAACTCTCGGAGTATTTGTGTGCATTAACCAAACGTATATTTGTAAATTCCAACCATGTCGCCACTAGCATCACCACAAACGACCAATTGCTTACAAAAACCATGCTCCAGATTCGAATGTTTAAATCGTTTGGTATATAAAATTATAAACTTTAACTCGTTTACCAGACAGATAATATTTATTGTCCAATCTGTTGAAGGATCATGTTTCGATTTTACGAAATTTAGTGTAATTTTTGTGTATCAAATGACAAACATTTGTTCCATGACGTTGGACGATGTTAGATGGAGGTTTTGTAATTTTGTGCAAGGTTGAACCTGACCCAACGTGTAACAACATCAGTCAATATTATACCCAAACAGAATCAACGATATTGGGCCAATTTGTTGGACTAGTTTCAATGGGCCGGCGCGTTCACATTGCAAAGTTCGGTCTTGGCCTGAGCCAATAGACCTTACCGGCAATTACGTCACGACTATAACACTGTTTTCAACTTAGGGCCTGTTTACATGGAGGTAGGGTGACCCTAGCAGAAGGGTTACCCTAGCAAGCGGGTTACCCTAGCAAGCGGGTTACCCTACTTCAATATGTTTTATAGGAAGCGTTTACATGCGCGCTAGGGTTACCCTAGGGGTAGGGTTACCCTATCAAACAGATAGGGTGACCCTAGCAGCAGGGCTATCTTTTTGTTTACATAAGCCATGTAAACGCGTCAGGTAGGGTTACCCTAGCAAGCGGGTCATGTTTTATACGTCCTACTGTGACAGACAAACAAGGATGGCGTCGCTAGATCATTATACATATGAACATATCAACCTGGCGAGTATTTTAAACGACACCAGAAAATAAAAAGGATAAGCAATTTACAAATAAGGAAGCAGAGGCATAGAACGAAGCTTTGACTTTGGACGAGAACGCTGCGAATGATGTAGTTTCGATAACAAATTGTCAAAGGCGGCGAAAAGGAAGCAAAATTCCGGCGCATCCTCATCGACGTCAAAAAAACAAAATAAATGCTCTTGGTCAGCCGAACATGTCGAAAAACTGTTGTGTTGGACTATATCAAGGAATACATTACGCTTATTTACGCAGTGCAAGTAATATTACAATAGACCACAACATTGAAATAACAGACCACGATATTGAAATAACCTCGGAAATAACAGACCACAACATTGAAATGAAGCAAGCAAAGGCCCAATAAATAGCATTACACAACTTGCCGCTAAAACTTTGCGTTTCGACGCCATTTATCTCATAGAGACCGCTTAGTAACCACGCATAGGTAGGGTTACCCTATCTGGCAACATAGCCCTAGCAGTAGGGTCACCCTACCTCATGTAAACGCTCGCTATTTTCTGACCCGCTTGCTAGGGTAACCCTCCTGATAGGGTCACCCTACCTCTTGAATGGAATGGATTTTAAGTTTGTTTCTCACGAGCTGTGGTCAGAGGAGCAGAATATCCTTCTTCAACACATGCATAAAAAAGAATTTTGACCAATAAATGTGAAAATAAGCTTAAACACGAAAACGAGGGTAAGGGGACGAAAACGACGCTGAGGGAGAAGCCATGGCCCTTCAGCCTCATTTTCGTGTTTAAGCTTATTTCCACATTTGATAGTCAAAATCCAAAATTATTTTTTATGCATGTGCTGACGAAGGATGTTCTGCTTCTCTGACCATAGCTCGTGAGAAACAAACTTGGAATCTATTCCATTTGAGGTGGTCCTAAGTTGAAACAGTGCAGTTGTGACGTAATCACCGGAAAGGTCTATTAGGCAATTGTGATACTGTTACACTGCCCGCATTGACAACGCAGCGATCGTAGCGTGCCTAGATTTTTTGCTATATGAGCATGGTAATATAGCGGAAGACCAAAGCGTGGTTGCACTACCAAAATGTAGGTCAAAACAAGAAGCTCAGGCCAGGCACTATATTTTCATTATTTTCTGTCTTTTTAGATGATTTGCCTCAGAAAGTCTTGGAAGATATCAAAGGTGAATAAACCGTAAACTTTAATGAACTCTTAACTTTGAACTGGCTATTATTTTGATGAGAATACAATACAATACAATACAAATTTATTTAGATCCTCACCGAAGGGCTTTTCTGGTCTAATTACAGGTGTTTGAAATTCGTGGTACCCGGACATTTTGCCGAAAGACACTTTGCCGAAAGACACTTTGCCGAAAGACATTTTGCCGAACGGACATTTTGCCGACGGTCATTTTGCCGAACGGACGTTTTGCCGAACGGACATTTTGCCGAACGGACATTTTGCCGAACGGACAGTTTGCCGAAAGGACAACTTGCCGAAAATAAAGATGTTATTTCGTCAAAATGTTTGGGACTGTGACTCATTTCTCAACTGTGTAATTCTCAACCATTGTGTAAAATAACCATTATATGGTCATTAGCAGTGCATAATGGTCATTAGCAGTGCGTAATGGTTGTTAGCAGTGCATAACCATATTGACTATTGGTAGCTTGTTTGTGCAGCGGATGACTCATTTGTTAGGAACGTGTTTTGACGTCAGATCGTAAACAAACAAGCGTAAACTATATAAAGACGACGTAAGCGAATTTCACTTCGAGAATCATGGAATACATTCACAGTTCTCGGGGAAATCACATTCATGAATGATGTTGAATGATGTTATTCTTTATATCGCGAATTTTCGGTAAACTTGTCAAAAACTTGAAAGAATATAAAACGAAACTATACTTCACTATCAAAGTTTCTGTCATCAAAATCGACAATTAATGACTTTAATCACAGAAACTTTGACCGTGTAAGCGAACCTTTAAAGTTCAGAAGATATCTCTATTTTCGGCAAAATGTCCGTTCGTCAAACTGTCCGTTCGGCAAAATGTCCATTCGGCAAAATGTCCGTTCGGCAAAACGTCCGTTCGGCAAAACGTCCGTCGGCAAAATGTCCGTTCGGCAAAATGTCTTTCGGCAAAATGTCTTTCGGCAAAGTGTCTTTCGGCAAAATGTCCGGCCACCGAAATTCGTTAATGGTTTAAAAAGATATATGAGAAAAAAGTTATACAAGTTTTAGTAAAAGATGCAATAAGTAATAAACAAGAGTTTTGATTGGCCACAAGAGTTCAAATTCGAATTTTCGAACTCATGTATCTTGATCAACTCTCATTCGCCCCAGGCTTCGCTCTCATCACTCTCGTCAACTGTAAACTAGTTCGAATATTGATGAGAGAGAGAGGTGAGGAAGGTTTTTGCTACGTGAGTGGTAATATCCAGCGGCCATCTCTTATGCAACTCTTGTTCTTGTTGGACCGGGCATGACAGTTAAGAAAACTGTCATGCAAACTCTCGCTTTCCAACTCTTGGACTTGGCAACCGTCTTATCAGGGCTGAATATTACTTAAAAAATAAGCTTACTGTAAGACATTGCATATGGTAGCATACATTATACTGTCGACATACTGCCTCTTTTGAGACAAATACTGTAGACACACTGCCTCTTTTGAGACAACTGCGGTGTCAAGGATATTCAACTACTGTACCTGCGATTACCCATTAAATATTATTCAATCGAGTGAGATGCCATCAAAATCTTGATACAAAAAATTGGTTCTCATTAAGTTTGCATTTTTCGCAGCTGTTCCTGGTTAGGTCTAATAAATATATTTGTTATATAGCTAGCGTGAACACCAAACGTGATTGGCTGATTTGTGGTCACGTGACTTCAGATAAATGCAATGTTTCCCGCCGGGCAACAAGTGAAAAATTGTTGCCCGCCCCGACCGGCCACGTACATAAATAAACAAAATGGAGGCACAACTCAGATAATTAGAAACTACGATTTTCCAAGTTTGTGTTCAAATAAAGAATATAAAAGAGAAGAAAAATACACAACAGGCAACATGATATGCTGCTGAAACCGTTTAAGTAGGTTCTTTTAATTTTAAACTCGTTTACACTATAGAGTTTTTGTCACGAAATACAATTGCTGTATGAATGTTGTCGAAGTTGATTTTTGTTCGTCGCTATATAACAAAACACTTAATGCCTGTTCCCTCGGGAAATAGTTAGTTTTGTTTTCCCTCGAATCTTAATGTTTCCCTCGACTTCGTCTCGGGAAACATTGAGATTCTCGGGAAAACAAAACTAACTATTTCCCTCGGGAGCAGACATTAAGTGTATAATAATTTCCACTTTCCATCTACAATACCCATCAAATATTATTCAATCAAGTGAGATGCCAACAAAATCTTAACATAAAAACTCGTTCTCGTTTGGTCATCTCTCACAGCTCTCATCCTTAGTTGAGAACAAATTAGTTTAATACAAGTTATTTATCAGTTAAGCAACAACTTTGTCTCTTTTTACAGTACGAACATGTTTTGTTGGTCCCAAGATAAGCATTCCAGTTAACGAGACGAGACCTCCTTCAATGGTTCATTCTGTTGATTACCCGCTGGATGGAGGAAAGCTTTTACGAGTGGAAGGACAGATCAGGTATGACAGTCAAGCCAGATTTTGACATGTAGTGATGGGACCTGTAGCTCGTTTACCCACCATTGACGGAACATTGGCCCACGATCAACAAGGGTAAATAATGTTAGCCAATCAGCGCGTTTGTTTACATTTTGCGTCCTTGACCAATCAGAATGCTTGAAATTCGAAACATATAAACAAAAGGAGTGAGAAAATAACACCTTGTTCTACGCCCTCCGTGACATTCGATATTAAACTTTTTACTCCAAAACTGAGAAATTCTGATAAAGCATGCTTTCTTCTTTAATTTCCTCGGGGGGATTTTTTAAATTCGATCTAGACTGCGAAATATTTATGTTTGAATAACAGTGTTTTAACGCGCGTAAAATAGCATACTCTCACTTGCACTATCTTAACACACACATAAAAAAATTGGTAGATTTGGCAGTTTAAACTTATTTTCCCCACACCACAGCCGAAATATTTTTAAATATTACCTATATCATCTCATCTCGCATCGGAAATGCGTCACAACGATCCAGGACAGCATCGCATGACTCATACACACTCATTACTGTACATATCCGGTTGGCAAAATGGCGATTGTCAGACCTTCGCGAAATGCTTATTTTTGCTAACA